AAACATTAGTTTATTTCTTCCAGTAATTGCTATTTTTCTATAATTAGAAATTAAGTCACTACCACTCTATTTATAGTATAGTGCGTAAACAAATATTGCTCTCTTTCTGAAACCACCTATCGGTGTATTAAAGCTGAACTCCGATTACAAAACTACAGAAAATATTAAAAATAAAATAAAGTTAACGCGTTCAACAATCGCAATACTTGTTTTCATTTTGTAGAACAAAAATATCGATTGTTCGGCCCATTCGGTACAATCTTTTATAGAACACGTCCATTCAGACCATCGTGTAAAGACTATGTCCTTTCCGACCATCTTCTATATAACGCGTCCATTCCGACCATCGTGAAAAGACTACGTCCATTCCAACCATCCTCTACAGAACATGTCCATTCCCACCATCGTGTATAGGACGCGTCCATTTCGACCATTAATTCAGTGCAACTTGAAAAAAGGAAATGTAACGTAATGCTAGTTTTGGCCATATATATATTCAAAACTAGGTAATTTCGGGATTAACAAATGGTACAATAATTTTATTTCAATAATTTGCTTGTGCGTAGGGGTCTTTAGCAGTGGGAGGAAACCGGGTGAACAGGGAACATCTACGGGGTTGGACAAGATTGGATCGAAACCACGCCTCTTAATTCAATAAGAAATAGTATTATGTAAATCGCACATGTTAAAACACAAGACCTACCCCCCCCCCTCACATACACACACACACGCGCGCGTATCAATAAAGTATAGTCCATTAGGCTAGCATAAGGCGTTTTGTTTTATGTACTTTAAATTTCTTATTGATCGTCTTACGTTAAATAATGCCGTGGGTTGTGGTTAAAACCCGTATTTATCTGTAATCCTTTAGTCACGACAGTCTGATTCTAATCATCTATTAGTTAATTAAATATTTATTTAACAGAAAAATCACCCACAGAAAAAACAACAACAATTAAATGCTGCAGAACAAAACAAAACTATTGTGGTGGTAGTAGTGGTAGGGTTTTTCGGTTTTTCGTCCCATCCCAAAAACTATGCGTATCCTCCGTGATACACCACTGACAAGGAGGAACCACGCCGAAAAGACACGATGAACTTTCTCGGTTAACACTGGAATCGAGCACGAGACTTACAGGATATTGAGCCTACGTTTTACTCACTGAAACACCACGGCTCCCCGGTAGAAAACAGACACGATGCAAGTTCAACGATTTTTTTTAAATTCCTATTCCAATGATTGTAGTCAAAAACTTTAAGAATTTAGAAAAGGAACGACGTCTTGTCGTTCGAATGTTCACGTACAGCAACCCTTGTCAGTTGGAATTCGACGATGCGTATGTCCATCTTCATTAGCCCTATTGAAGAAGACAATGACCAGCATTCCGCACAAAGAGACCCATCTACTTCATACTTCGAGAATAGATCTCTCCACTAAATGGCCGTCATATCCAAAAATTAGTAAACTGGGGCCTGTTTCACGAAATTTTAACTAAGATAAAATCCAAATTTTAGTAATTTGATTGGATAATATTAGATTGATTTTAGTGCTTAGTCAATCAAAATTGAAGTATCTACTAAAATTTGGATTTTATCTTTAGTTAAAATTTCGAGAAACAGGGCCCTGTTTTGTAATGCGGTTCCACTCCGTGTTCATATCTGTCATACACATAGAGAGTACAATATACATTTTCAATTTTATATAATGGAAGCAGAATAACCACTTAACAAAATTATACTTATTGTTTTCGACTAAATTTATCGATTTAGGACTTAAAATGTCGGTCAACTAGCTTAGTGTCTGTTCTCAAGTGGAGCTAACTGTAGACAGACAGCCTAAGTTTAGTATGAATGATCAGCTGTATTTATGCTGACGGCAGCCTATTGTATAAGGGAGATAACTCCATTTTCTCACGTCCATTTATTTTTTTCCTTTTCATCCACATTTTGCAATACATAATTTGTCATTACAAATAAGAATTGTGGAAAGTATGTCATTATTTCATTTTTCTATATCCGTTGTATTAGTTATTGTGTCGTCAACAAAGACAGATCTAAAAAATTAAATGACTACTTGTTTTAATTTGTTTTCAAATAAATAATCATGACTCGTCATTTTGGAGTTGTCTCCCATTGACGCCGCCCAAAAAAAAACATTTCCCGCATAGCACACTGTATGGCGTATGTCCGTCTTCATTATCCCAGTTCGGAGCAAAACAGTAGGACGTTAAACCCCATTTCATTTCCGTCTTCTAAATCCCGGTTAGTGCAGAAAGATACGAGTTTAATCCCCTTTTCATTTCACTGTAATATCCATAGACGAAAAATCGGGGTCCAGTAAACACATAGGCGTGGACGTAAAAGAACCCTCGACAGTTGGAATTCGAAATAATTGCCAGACGTACGGACATAGTCATAGTTTGATAGTATTTTTGAAATATTTTCCACGATACAGGGGCCTCTGGTTAAAGCCCATTCTATTTCATTTCATTTCATCTCTTTCGTCAACACAAAGAAACCGTTGACAGCCATACCAGCCGTTGAGTTAACTTCCACCATATGTGGGTAGAGATGTGAGGCTAATAATGTGATATGATTGAAGAAGTTTAGTTTTCCTCATTATAACGAACAAAAATTGTTAAGTATTTGTTACAATAATAATAGTCATCATCTCAAAGGCATTATAACTTTCATCGGGAAAATAAATCACTTTAGTTGCTGTATCACATACAAATCCCACTGACATATTTAGAAGTAGGTATGTTATCCCGAGGTATTCTCCATAGTCCAAATTTTAAATACACTGAATTTGTGTAAATATGGTTGTTTTATTAAACATACATTATGCAAGAGCTAAATCTACCTATTGCAGGTCTTTCTTCAAGCCTGAAATGTTATCTAATTTATTAGACATTAATTAACTTATCCAGATCATAATCAACTCTCGGTGGCATCGCTAGCCTGCGATGTTTATTGGATTAGGTTCCGATTTGCTGTTCGACTTCCATTCATAATTTAATCATGAAATGGACAATCGAGACTATGTTTTTATCCTACCAACTTTAGTAATGATGATCGAGGCTAAGCCGAAAATTCAATCGCTACAATTTCGGTTCATAGTGGATCAATTTGACTGAGATTTTCAGCAAATTGCCTTTACATTATCTAGTTTTTTACTATTATAGTGAGAACTGTCAGCTCTTTATTTAATCTCTCATAAATGTATCTTTAATTTATTGATTATCTGATATGTATTATATCTATTGACTGATATGCATATCTATATGTATATCAGTGACCACCTACAATAATTATATTGTATTGGAGAGGACTCCTTTGTAAGTTTTAGTACCTTTTGTCCGATCCGTTTACTTTAAAGTAATAAAATAAACATGTTTAAATCAAGTAGGTATGCTACACGTGCGTATGTGCTTTATTCCAATGTTCTCGGCCGAATTTAAGATTTACATGAGTGCTAGTTAAATCGTTTTATCACATCATAGAAATACCACTGACATATTTAGAGTTAGTATGCTATACGTGTGTACGTGCTTAGTTCCAGTGTTCTCGGTCGGCTTTAAGATTTACATGAGTGCTAGTTATTATATTATGCAAGATCTATTAAGTCGGCCTATTGCAGGTCTTTCTTTAGGCCAGGGCCCTGTTTCACAAAAATCACAATGAAAATTTAATTTTTATGCGTTTCACGAAGATCGAATGTAACTTAAAGTGCAATTTTAATAGATTTTAGTTAAAATTGCTTGCGCCCGCGCAGTCCACATTTAAGGCATTTGTAAGCCAATACTGTTGACAGGTTGAAACAACGGTTACAATATCAATGGGGAAAATTTCATGCGTTGAAGCTCTATTTGAACCTCTATTTGAACATGGTTAGACAGTCGTAGAGAGGTGAAATAAATGCGTTTATTGCGAATTATTCGTTTCGAAATGTATTGGTGGGTTGGCCTTGAACTTGAGATATGATTCGTGACCTTGGCATTTGATAAACTAAATCGCTTGAATTTCGTATTTTTATGGCATTTTGGATAACAGAAATTATTGAGAATTGTCACAAACATATGATATTTTTGACTCAAATCTAGGCTGTAAATTATTGTCTAATTTTAAAAGTATTTAACAACTTTGAAACTAATCCACTACATAGCCAATGTTCCGATGCCTAGATTTGAAATGTGTCAATATTACTTTGAAATTACCAAAGTGTCACAATCCTCATTGGATAATGCCTATCATATATCTTATTCAATGAAAATGGTTTTTCCCCCAAGATAAAATTTCTTTGGCTCCTAAAACTTCTTTGATTTATGTTGTTATTACATAAACCTTCATTAAGAAATAATGATACATTTATGATATTAAAATTTAATTTCGAATGGGCCTATAACACTTTTCAATAAACACATTTGAGATTATTGGTTTATCTTTTAACAAATCATCATAATCCCAAACCCAAAAGATCCCTTGACAGTTGGAATTCGATATAAGAGTAAGCCGTAGTGCCGCTGCCCGGGCAAATTTCCCTCATAGCACACTGTATGGCGTATGCCTATCTTCATTAGCCCAGTCAGAGCAGAACAGTAGGATGTTAAACTCCATTTCATTTCATTTTATTTGACAGTGGGAATTCGATATAAGAGTAGGACGAGGCGTGGCTTTCCGGGCACAATTTCCGTCATAGCACACTGAATATGGCGTATGCCTATCTTCATTAGCCCAGTCAGGGCAGAACAGTAGGATTTTAAACTCCATTTTATTTCATTTCATTTGCTGATCGGTGAAGAAATATAGGACGTTAAACCATATTTCATTTCTTTCTTTCTTCCACATGAATCTTTGTCTCAATGAAATGTGAACTACTAAAGTTGAACAACTTGTGAACTGTGTGAGACATGATGAATAACTATGTATGTCCATAGAATTAATGTAAAATGTAAACATTGACACACCGCTTATCACCACTCGACTATCGCTGGGTTCAAACTATGGCGACTCACAGACCAGCGTGCCACTACACTTACAAATCATCGTTTCATTCTAATACCCACGCGCCGTGTAGAACAGTCGGCATGTGAATCTAATACAGGGATACAGTAGTACTCGGTGGATTTAAAATGATATTAAGGGAATTATTTAGATGTTTTAAGTGTTGAATGAATGTTTTAAGTTATTTGTCGTATTGCCTTAGGATTACACAATGTGGATTGCGTGCGTGTTATTGTGTTTAGCTGTTGTTAACTCAGGGAGGAGTCAGTCTGCTGGCCCTGCTCGTCATATGATCCTCCCGCCCTCTGGTTCGGGGGACAAAGAAATAGGAATTATTATAGTTCCCGAGGAAGGAGTTAGGAGTGTGGCTTATTCTACTTTAGGTAAGGTGCATTTTATAATATTTCATAAAATTCATTAATAGTAAGAACTCCCGATAATATTAATAACAGGTGAAAAACACATACAACAACAACCAAACACAAACTAGAAAAATCACAAGACAAATCACGTACATTGTAAGCCATCAGTCAATTATCTAACCAAAGGGGGTGGGTGGGCATATAATTATATTAAATAACTAAACATATACTTTATGCAAGAGGTAAATCTGCCAACAGTAATTTACTTATCCAGACAATAATGGCCTCTCGATGTCATCGCTAGTCTACGATATTTACTGGATTACAATCCGATCTGCTGCTTAACGCTCATTGATAATTAAAGTGGATAAACGAGACTATGTTTTTTTATCGTACCGACTTTAGTAATGATGATCGAGGCTAGGCCTAAAATTCAATCGCTAAATTCTCGGTTCAGAGAGAATCAATTTGACTGAAATCTTTAGCAAATTGCCATTTCATTATCTAGTTTTTAACTATTATAGTGAGAACTGCCAGCTCTGTATCTAATCTCCCATAATGTATCTTTAACAACCGAGGAAGGCAGCAATACAGATCAATACAATTGAATAATTCCAGGCTGGCAATAAACACAAATTGGTACCCGTATCCACAGGCTCGTCAGGACTGGGCATTGGGAGCCCGAGGGGTGGGTGTGGGAGTTGGGCTTCGGTTTGAAAAAAAAACATGGACTCGCAGCCCCCACCTGTTTCCCATCCATATGTAGTTCGTTCCGACGGGTCTGACATACATACAGTTGTATTCATATGGAATAAGTGGGGTTGTAATAAGTGGATAAGTGGGGTGGATTAAGTGGGGTTGGATTAAGTGGGATTGGGGTTGGCATAAGTGGGTGGGGGAAGATTAAATAAAGTTGGAATCATCATTAAATATGCATTATGTAAAAGATCAATCTTCCTATTGTAGATCTTTCTGTTGGCTTCAAATGTTATATAAGTTATTATTTAGACATTTATTCACATGACAAGCCTATATCCAACTCACCGGACTATCGGATTTTGGAGATTTAAATGGATTAAAACACGGTCATCATTAAATGATTTAATTTAAGAATGGCGAATTTGGCGCTGGTTTCATATTGGAATTCGATACAAGGAAGCGCCGCTGTCCAAGAAAAAAAATCCCTCGTAGCACACTACATGGCTTGTGCCCGTCTTCATTAGCCCAGTCGGAGCAGAATACTAGGACGTTAAACCCCATTTCATTTCATTTCACTTCCCTCTCAAACATTGTATTCGCGAGGAAATAACCTAAGCTATAACAAAATATATTTTTTAAAAGTCATGTTTGTGTCACATGACTTGGCTGTCGCGGTAACTAGCAACGGGCGTGACGTCGGAAGAGAATTCATTGCATATAAAAGACCCTGTTGTCTTTAATCGTTGTCCAGTTATCATAAATATTGAACCCTAAGTTAATTCTGGGATTATCCTCTTCCCACATCTGTTTCCGCCGTTTTTACCTCAGAAATTGTTATACGCTTAAGTCTCTCACTTTTTCCACGCCCACTCACCATCAATTGTATCAACATACATCTATACATCAAGTGCTCCCTAAGCATAGAGTTCAGAAAATGTACGTGTGCAACTTTGACGTCACTCGAGCAGAAAGTATTTAATCATCGGGCTGACACCCTCCCATTTTCGTCCTGAATGAGCTCCATGGGTGTTTTTCAAGGAATCCAGTATATTTCTAGTAAGATTGGGTTTCTATACTTTCCAATATACCAAAATTGCCATACTTTTATTGGAAACGACCATCTGATAAATACTGTTGTGGGAAAGTATCTTTAAGTAAAACCCCCGTGTATAAGGGCGGCTTTAGAACTGAAATACGAAACAACAGGTATTCTGAAATATTTAACTCGAACGTGTTGCTGAACGTGCACTAGTGAAATATTTAAAGACGTGTGAAATCTATTTCTAGAGAGAAGAGATGCTTAGGATTAGAAGTCTGAAGTAACATTTAATACACCTTCTTCTGTTGTTAGATACCGGTGGAACTTTTATCACATGGTTTACAATACCTGGTGTTTTATTCGGGATAGGAAGCAACACATTGTAATTATAATATTAAAATTATTACATGATAGTCCTAAAAGAAAAGAAAAGGCCAGCTGTCTAGTCGTTCGGATGGGACGAAAAACCGAGGTCCCGTGTACACATTGGCGTGCACGTACGTAAAAGATCCCTTGGCAGTTGGAATTCGATACAAGAGTAGGCCATAGCGCAGCTGCCCGGGAAAAATTTCCCTCATAGCACACTGTATGGCGTATGCCCGTCTTCATTAGCCGAGGTTAGGAGCAGAGCAGTAGGACGTTAAACCCTATTTCATTTCATTTCTATAAATTATTGTTTATGAAATCTGTGGGTGTTTGGTTCGTTTCGATTAAATGCAACCCAATTAGCGGTTGTTAATATACAGACGTTAACAGTTTTTTCATCACGTGAATCATAGTACATGGTGAATTTGTGAATTTTTCGTTGAAATTGACCCCTCCCCGGGATCCGAAACAAGAGAGAGAGAGAGAAATGGGGTTTAACGTCCACTCGACACAAACTAGGTCATTTCGGGACTAACATATGGTTTAATTTTATTTCAATAATTCGCTTGCGCGTAGGGGTCTTTAGCAGTGGGAGGAAACCGGAGAAAACCCACAAGGTTGGACAGGCGACCCTACACCTTGTCACAGGGATCCGAAACAAGATGAGATTATAATAACATGGTAATCCTAAAAGGAAATACTGGTTTTATAGAAATTAGAGCTTAGCTGATTATACAATTACATGTTCTTATTATAATCTATATTCTATAATTTCATGGTTTAAATCCTAAAAAAGAAGTAATGCTGGTTTTATATAATTTAAATGTTTATACAATTACACAGAACATGTTCATATTATATTCCATACAATATTACATACAGGTTGCCGATATACAGACGCTTTAATATTCAATCTACGAATCATACATATTTTGTACATACTTAATCAGGCCACGGTTTCACAAAACATTCTTAGACTCAAGTTAAGAATTTACTCAAAATTGTTCACCTTATTTTGAAATAAAATATAGCCCTCTATAAAATGTCTGTTGTTTTAATGTATCAAATACATTAATAAGAAACTATGTGCAAATTGCTGTGTTTCTGGATCAAAGATATTTCTCATAAACAGTGATTGAAAGTTAAGTCATTTCTTAACTTAAAGGGGCTAAAATCGCTAATATTTGGAACCTAGAAATTGATACAAATGGGTCGCAACGCATATAATAATGTAATATGAATGTATATAAACTGATTTACATTCAATCTTTTATGTTTTCACTGTAATTTCTAATCATTTATGTTCGGCGAAATACGCCAGAAGTCTCAATTGAATGGCCCTCTCTAGTGCCTGGTTATTCCAGTCTACACCGATATTAGTTATTGCACATGCTCTCCAGATAAGAATATTATGGCGTCACCGTTTGACTTGACATGTGGAATATGCCTAGCCTCGTTTTTCAAGTCCCTTATTACAAATGACGCTGAAACGCATTATGGTACACGATTCGTGTACCAATGGTAAAATGTTTATTTTGTCTTAAATATTGGATATCAGAAGCCCATCTCTTCCCGGTAAGATCACAACATCAATGTTGATTTAAATTGACAAATAATTCGGGTTTTCAATGTTTATGATTTTGGATGATATTGAGTTCGAGACTTAGCTACTTTAAATCTGAGAATGTTTTGTGAAACCAGGGCCTGGGTTTCAGGAGGCTTAACGATAACACGAGTAAGGGTAATGCATAATGCAATAATATTCGAAATGAATTGTTGTTTGTCAAAGTGACAATGTCTCTTTAATACTCCAGCCTGAGAACCAGTTAAGTGCATTGAATAATTGACTGAATGATGACGACAATGAATCTTGATATTAATGAATGAAATGAACATGTAATTGACCTTTGTCCTTTTTCTAAAACACGGGAAACGTAAGTACTTGATATTTGATTACCATAACCTGTTCTTACATTGAAACAAAAACCTTTATAATGTCACGTCAATTATTCATCAACATGAAACCCGGTTTTATTGTTCGTATCGCCTATACTGACATACTTTTCATCACATATTATTTGGTATACAGGGAATTTATATGAAATGAAATGGGGTTTAACGTCCTACTGTTCTGCTCCTAAACCGGGAAATGGATCTCCCAAACTGGGCGGGGATCACGTGGCTAAGTGGGTAAGACGTGGGCTCGCTAGCCTGGAGGTCGGGTGTTCGATCCCTGCATTGTCCGAGAAAGTTTATCGGATTTTCAGACGTGGTTTCCCCTTGTCAGTGATGCAGGACGGAGGGCCTGACCAGGACAGCTGTCTAGTCGTTCGGATGGGACGAAAAACCGAGGTCCCGTGTACAAATTGGCGTGCACGTGCAAGATCCCTTGGCAGTTGGAATTCGATATAAGAGTAGGTCGTAGCGCCGCTGCCCGGGCAAAATTCCCCTCATAGCACACTGTATGGCGTATGCCCGTCTTCATTAGCCCAGTTTGGGAGCAAAACTAGGCTATAAGATCTCCTAAACTGTGCTAACAGACATGACCCATACAGTGTGCTATGAGGGAAACCACGTCTGAAAATCCGATAAAATTTCACGGCCAATGCAGGGGTCGAATACGCCCTCTCCTTACCCGCATAGCCACCATGGCTCCTTATACAAGGATTTAAAAAATGTCTTTAGAAACCGTTTCGACCTGCTCTTATTGTTATGCCGGCTGCCTTATAATAGATGTTACGCGAACAACCAGTTTTGACTCTGCGCCCCAGTTCAGCACGACTTGGCTTCCGTGTCAGCCCAACAGGCGCCACAGTGGCAATTCGGAGAAAACCGGCCCCACCTCGTTTCATTCAAATGGTATATCTCTTGTATCGATTGAAACGAACACCGCCGGCGTAATCCCTTTTCGGATTCA